CAGCGATGAAGCGAAGGAAGAGGGTTCTAGAGAGCGTGTGGCGATCGGACCCAAGCGAGCCAAACCGAACACGGTTTGTGTCCTTTTTGAGGGCATATGCCGCGGCAATAAAAGCCGCAAAGAAAACTTTCTTTGCGGCCACTATTGCGTCTGCAAAAAACCGTCCGGCGGAGTTGTTCCGGGTTGTCAGAGGTCTTTTAACTCCCCCCATGGGTGGGAGCCCTGACAACTCGGCAGCCCGCTGCGAAGCATTTGCTCGGTTCTTTGCAGACAAAGTCGCTTTGATCCGTTCTGGGCTGGACGCCACATTAGATGCAGTCTCTGTGGATGTGACTCAAGCACCTGCTTGTCAGTGTTTGTTGGATTCTTTTCAGCTTGTGAAACCCGAGGATGTGGACAAGATACTTGGAGGAATGAGACCCACCACGTCCATCCTAGACCCCTGCCCATCCTGGCTTCTTAAGGAGGCCAGAGGGGGATTGGCCGAGTGGGTAACGGTGGTGGTTAATGCCTCCCTTCGGGAAGGCAAGATTCCAGCGAGCCTAAAACAGGCTGTTATAAAGCCGCTGTTGAAGAAACCATCACTGGACCCCACTAAATTGGACAACTTTCGGCCTGTTTCCAATCTTCCCTTCTTGGGCAAAGTCATGGAAAGCGTGGTGGCCTCACAACTCCAGGTATTCTTGAGAGACACGGATATCTGGATCCGGCACAGTCTGGTTTCAGACCGGGACATGGTACCGAGACGGTCTTGGTCGCCTTAGTGGATGATCTGCGCCGGGAGCTAGACAGGGGGAGTGTGTCCCTGTTGGTGCTCCTGGACCTCTCAGCGGCCTTCGATACCGTCGACCACGGTATTCTTCTGGGGCGCCTTGCAGAGATGGGTCTTGGGGGCACTGCTTTGCAGTGGCTCCAGTCATTTCTGGAGGGTCGTACCCAGAAGGTGTTATTGGGGGACTCCTGTTCAACGCCGCAGCCGTTGACCTGTGGCGTTCCTCAGGGCTCCATCTTGTCCCCCATGCTGTTTAACATCTACATGAAGCCGCTGGGTGAGATCATCCGGAGTTTCGGGGTGCGGTGTCATCTGTACGCAGATGATGTCCAACTCTGTCACTCCTTCCCACCTGCTACTAAGGAGGCCGTCGAAGTCCTGAACCGGTGCCTGGCCGCTGTAATGGTCTGGATGAGGGCGAACAAACTGAAATTAAATCCAGACAAGACAGAGGTACTCCTGGTCAGTCGCAAGGCCGAACAGGGTATAGGGTTACAGCCTGTGCTGGACGGGGTCGCACTCCCCTTGAAGGCGCAGGTTCGCAGCTTGGGTGTGACCCTGGATTCATCGCTGAGCCTGGATCCCCAGGTTTCAGCGGTGACCAGGGGAGCATTTGCACAGCTTCGGCTCGTGCGCCAGCTGCGCCCGTATCTTGGGAAGTCTGACTTGGCCACGGTGGTACACGCTCTTGGTCACATCCCGCCTCGACTACTGCAACGCTCTCTACGTGGGGCTGCCCTTGAAAACGGCCCGGAAGCTTCAGCTAGTTCAGCGCGCGGCAGCCATGTTGTTAACGGGGGCTGGACGCAGAGAGCATACAACGCCTCTGCTGTCCCAGCTCCACTGGCTGCCGATTTGCTACCGGGCCCAATTTAAGGTGCTGGTGTTATCCTACAAAGCCCTAAACGGTTCCGGCCCAAAATACCTTGCAGACCGCATCTCGGCCTACGAGCCCACGAGGACCTTGAGATCATCCGGGGAGACCCTTCTCTCGGTCCCGCCTGCCTCACAGGCACGTCTGGCGGGGACGAGAGAGCGGGCCTTCTCGGTGGTGGCCCCCCGGCTGTGGAACACTCTCCCTGCTGAAGTTAGGCAGGCGCCCTCCTTGATGGCCTTTCGTAGGGGCCTAAAAACATGGCTCTTCGAACAGGCCTTCAATTGAGTGTAGTTAAATTGACAAAGGAATGAATTAGGACTACGAATTTTTGGCTATGACCCCAGGACTTGACGAAGCGGATTTTTAGTATAAGTATATGTCATGTTGTATTCGTCTGGTTTGTATTGTCTTTATTTACTGTACATTGTCTTCTTGTTGTTGTTGTTCACCGCCCCGAGTCGCCTCCGGGCTGAGAGGGGCGGTTAATAAATGCAAGAAATAAATAAATAAATAAATAAATAAATGTTCTGGAGGCTTGGGACCACATTGGCCTTCCTCCTCTGAGGATGCTTGCCATAGATGCAGGTGAAACGTCAGGAGAAATGCCTCTAGAACATGGCCATATAGCCCGAAAAACCTACAACAACCCAGTGAGTCCGGCCATGAAAGCCTTTGACAATACACATCACACAGTCCTAGCTTGCTAATGCCGCGACCCCTTAATACAGTTCCTCATGTTGTGATGACCCCAACCATAACATTATTTCTGTTGCTACTTCACAACTGTCATTTTGGTCCTCTTATGAATCGTAATGTAAATATTTTAAACCTTATTAGTGCCGATTGCACTATTTCAGCCCTACACAAACCTGCCCAAAGCACCTGCTTGTGATGCAAAATAGTTTTTTTTGGAGAAACAAGTGTGGTACTTAAAAATATCCAAGAGGCTGCAAAAGGGACTAAACGTTCCCCTCCAGAAGGCATGAGTTTGCATTGCTATCTACAGCACTGAATCACCAAGCATTTGGGAGGGAAATTGGTTTTTTTAAAAATTTCATTTATATCACTTATTCCTGTTCTTAAAGCTCAAAGGTGTCCAGAAGCTTCTTTCTTGGCTCCAAATAGTATAAAACTGCCCAACTCTCGGCAGGCAAGGTCATGCTCACAGGATTTTGAGACCAGCACAGAGGATTGATGGGTTTTTAGCAAAGGGGACCACGATCACTGGGGCAGACTAGGCTTCACTGCCTCAGAAATTGTGAGAGGCCAGCAAAACCAAGAGACAATGCTCCAAAGATGTCCATCCACCTTCTGCAAGACAATGCACCAGTTCACAACTCACCTGTCGCCCAAATGGAAGAAGCATGCTCTCCTGTGGCTTTGGAATTCTGCCACATCCCCCTTATTTACCCAATCAGACTTCCACCTCTTTCCAACAAGGAAGTTCTTTGCAAATTGGTAAACATTTCTCAGGTGATGAGACTCTGATTTCTGAAGTCACAACATGGCTTTTGGAGCAACCTGTTGACTTCTACAAGCGAGGTAGGATATTAAGATCATCTGGGGAGGCCCTGCTCTCTGTCCCGCCGGCATCACAAGCACACTGGGCGGGAACGAGAGACAGGGCCTTCTCAGTGGTGGCCCCTCAGCTGTGGAACGCCCTTCCTACAGACATCAGATTGGCCCCCTCCTTATTGGCATTTCGGAGGAAAGTGAAGACCTGGCTGGTCGAACAGGCATTTGATTTTATTTATTTTTATTTGTCATGTCAGGGCAGCCAGTCAATTATATTACATTTCTAACAGAACAAAGCAAACAAACAAACAGACAAAGTACAGAATTTGTGAGTATGATAATGTCCTTTGACCAGTATCTGGACACTTGGAGTGCTTCTGGTGTTGCTGCAAGAAGGTCCTCCATGTGGCAGGGCTTAGGGTGCATTGCAGCTGGTGGTCAGTGGTTTGCTCCTCTCCACACTCGCATGTCGTGGATTCCACTTTGTAGCCTCATTTCTGAAGGTTGGCTCTGCATCTTGTGGTGCCAGAACGCAGTCTGTTCAGCGCTTCCAAGTCGCCCAGTCTTCTGTGTGCCCGGGGGGGAGTCTCTCATTTGGTATCAGCCATTGGTTGAGGTTCTGGTTTTGAGCCTGCCACTTTTGGACTCTCGCTTGCTGAGGTGTTCCAGCGAGTGTCTCTGTAGATCTTAGAAAACTATTTCTTGATTTAAGTCGTTGACGTGCTGGCTGATACCCAAACAGGGGATGAGCTGGAGATGTCTCTGCCTTGGTCCTTTCACTATTGGCTGCTACTTCCCGGCGGATGTCAGGTTGTGCAATGTAAGCTAAGCAGTGTAATTTCTCCAGTGGTGTAGGGCGCAGACACCCCGTGATAATGCGGCATGTCTCATTAAGAGCCACATCCACTGTTTTAGTGTGGTGAGATGTGTTCCACACTGGGCATGCGTACTCAGCAACAGAGTAGCACAGCACAAGGGCAGATGTCTTCACTGTGTCTGGTTGTGATCCCCAGGTTGTGCCAGTCAGCTTTCGTATGATGTTGTTTCTAGCATCCACTTTTTGCTTGATGTTCAGGCAGTGCTTCTTGTAAGTCAGAACACGGTCCAGAGTGACTCCCAGGTATTTGGGTGCGCTGCAATGCTCCAGTGGGATTCCTTCCCAGGTGATCTTCAGAGCTCGGGATGCTTCTCTGTTCTTTAGATGAAAGGCACATGTCTGTGTTTTATAGTAGCTGACGAACAACAGGCATTCAATTAGGCAGCGTAATTGATTATAGGAACACGGAATAACGGATGATGAGACTGGATTCTGATTCTATTGATGAGACATGAAGGATTTGTCATATTGATGTTTAATTGTTGTTATGCTATTGCTTTTAAATGTTCCAATGATAACGTGTGTATTGTAACTGCTGTTAACCGCTTTGAGTCGCCTAAGAGCTGAGAAAAGCGGTATATAAATGAAGTAAATAAAATGAATAAATAAATAAATTTGCTTCAAAAGATGGGAGAAATTTGTTTCTTGAGATGACACCGATGGAGAGAAGGACTCAGAACTGGGCCAAGTCTCATTGCTCTCAGTCCACAGGAAATTGGTCAGAGAAAATCTGTAATGAATGCCCCTCGTATCTTGCCATGAATACCCTGTGATAGGGTTTTCTATGGGTCGGAAACAACTTAAAAGGTACACGATAACCATTAATATAACAGAGAAGCGCAGTGCATCCTCTGCAAAGCATCCAAATGCACCTGGATAGCAAGAAAATACAACCTATTTGTCCGAATCCATTTCCAACCCCTCCTGCCCTAAATGTCTGCAATGAGTCTCCAAAAGCAACAGGTTCATTAGACATTTATTTATGTACACAACTTATACATAGAATTGCCAAACGGAGAGTCGAGCCCTCCTTTTTTCAGTGCTGTCTTGTTTGCATTTTTTTTCAGTTCCAGTCCACATCGATTCTACATAAACCCACCGGAAAGACGATTTAGGGACAAAGGGGGGGAAGGGGGGTGGAAACACAGCCCCAAAGGCAGGCAGAGAGCCCCTCGCTCCTATCCGTTGCAGAAAGGGACCAATGGATGATGAAACTCCACCTGTTATTGGACACCTATATCCTGCTAGAAGTCCGTCCAGAAATGCCCAGGGATTTGGTATGCGGAATGAGTTTAGTCCCGTTAAAAAAGAAACTCTGCTATGAATTGCAATGGGAGCCTCTTATGGAACCCCGGTGTTTGTAGTTTAGGATTCTCTGCCAGAGAGATCTGGTTCCTCACCAACTACAAATCCCAAGATCTCATAAGACAGAGCGACAAAACGGAATCACAGTGCTTGCAATGGTGCACCAGGGCAGAGAGCTAATGTTTCTCTAGCACTTTATATTCCCTGAATGGATATATATATTTACTTTTGGGTGACCAATTGATGCTCTGCACATGCTCAGGAGCAGTTGCAGCTAGCACTTTATATACCCTGCATAGATATATATTTACTTCTTGGTGACCAATTGAGGCTCTGCACATGCTCAGGAGCAATTGCGCTTAGCACTTTATATCCCCTGAATGGATGTATGTTTACTTTTGGGTGACCCATTGATGTTCTGCACATGCTCAGGAGCAGTTGTGCCTGGCACTTCATATTCCTGCATGGATATTTGTTAACTTTTAGGTGACACATTGATGCTCTGCACATGCTCAGGAGCAGTTGCGCCTAGCACTTTATATCCATTGAATGGATATATGTTTACTTTTGGGTGACACATTGATGTTCTGCACATGCTCAGGAGCAGTTGTGCCTAGCACTTTATATTCCCTGCATGGATATGTTTACTTTTGGGTGACCCATTGATGTTCTGCACATGCTCAGGAGCAGTTGTGCCTAGCACTTCATATTCCTGCATGGATATTTGTTAACTTTTAGGTGACACATTGATGCTCTGCACATGCTCAGGAGCAGTTGCATCTAGCAATTTATATACCCTGCATGGATATATATTTACTTTTGGGTGACTAACTGATGCTCTGCACATGCTCAGGAGCAGTTGCGCCGAGCACTTTATATCCCTTGAATTGATATGTTTACTTCTGAGTGTTCAGAATTGAGTGTTCTGTACATGCTCAGGAGCAGTTGCGCTGAGCACTATATATTCTCTGCATGGATATGGAGAGCCACGAAAGTGTTCTACGTCTCTTTTGGGTTTCTTCTTGGAAATGGGTCACTTAGATTGGTGTCTTTTGGGGAGCGGAAGAGCATGGAGAAAATGGTTCCAAAAGAAGAAAAATCAAAAAAGAGATGGTCTGTCCCCATGAGAAAAGGGGGAACGGTATGTTTGGAGGGGGAACATTTATATATTTTTCCCCAGGTGAGATGTTGCATTGTTTTTGTGCCTCTTTACCCCTTCTCATCCAAGTTCCCAGCCAAAGAAGTGCATCTGAATATAGCTGAGATCTGCTTACCCAAAGCAAAACAAAAGGACATCTAACCCAACTCCTCCAAAACAACGATGAGCAATCCCTGATTTCTCTTTAGGATTGGTGAGAGCGAGTGGGGTGGTCATCTTGCCTCTGTGTTCGGACTCCAGTCTTTTACAGTGTGCGCTATTTTAATGCCCTCCAATTTGTCTAAATCAGGCATGGGACAACTTCAACCCTCCAGGTATTTTGGACTCCAACTCCCACAATTCCTAACAGCCGGTAGGCTGTTAGGAATTGTGGGAGTTGGAGTCCAAAACACCTGGAGGGCCGAAGTTGGCCCATGCCTGAACCAAATGCTCCAAACTCCCCCCTCTCAGTCCCTGAAAGCAATCTCTGCTTGACCTTTCTGGACTTTGAAGGGACAACCAGTCAGCCCTTGAGCGGCTCTAGTGCAAAAGCCATCCTTCCGCCAAGGGCAGAAGAGTTTGTCTCTCGACCGAATGGCTCCCAAGCGCCGTATTCTTCCATGACTAACCAGAAAGAAGCTGGACTTCTCGACCGGCAAGCATCCTCTGCGCAAGGGATGCACACATGCCTCACGTTACTTGACATGTTCGGCTGCATGTGAGGAACAATAGTACTTCTTGTGGGCGATGAAGGTCGAGAGGCTGCTGAACTTGATGTTGCAGAGGCGGCAGTACCGGTGGTTGCCGTTGGCCACGGGAGCCGGGGGCCCTTTGCCAGGCGGGGTCTGAACACCTTTGTCCGTATAGCCAGGAAGGGCATTGGGGGGCACCTCGGGCAATGGGGAGACAGGCAAAGGGAGGGCGGGGGAGGCGGACAAAAGGGGCTGTGGGGAAGCAGAGGGGCGCGGGCTCCCGTTCGACATTGGGGGGACGGGGGGCTCCTTGCCATTGAGGCTGTCCTTGCGCAACCTGGGAAGGGTCTGGGGTGGGGAGGTGGCGGGGAGCACTGGGAGCAAGTGGTTGCCCTCAGCCAGCGTCCGTGTGGCCTCGATCAAGGTGGCGCCAGAGACCGTTTTGGCAGCAAAGAGGCCGTGGGCGTTGCGGAAGTGCTCCACTAAGTCCCCCTTGACGGCCCCGTTGAGTGGGCAGTAGGGGCACACTGCCAGCGACACCTTGGCGCCTTGGAGGTGAAGGGCTTTGGCATCCAGGTAGCGCTGCTGAAGTGGCTCCACGCCGGGAAAGGTGGTCTGGGGAGCGGCGGGGCTCAAGGATGGCGTGGCCTTCTCTACTTTGACCTGTGGGCCCCCCTCATGTTCGTCCCCCAGCCTCTCTGGGCTTCCCCGAGGTTTCAGAAGAGCCGGGACTGTTCCCTTGATCTTCTGCAGCTGCTCCAGAGTGCTGGGTTGTAACGGTGTGGCCGGGCAGTAGTACTTCTTGTGGGCCAGATAGCTGTCCAAGGTGTGGAAGCTGATGCGGCAGGCAGTGCATTCGTGGTAGTCCGCCAGCGGCAGCAGGGAGGCCGGGACCACATCTCCACTGCTATTGCCATGAAGCCGGGGCTTCTTGCTCAGGTCGATGGGTCCATCAGCATCTGGGCTTGAGCTTGGGGAAGGGGCAGCCTTGACCACAGAAATGAGAGTGGGGACGACTGGGGGCACCTCGGAGCGGTGGGCTTCTGGGGTGCTGCTGCTGCTGCTGCTGTTGAGTTGGCTGGCGGCATTGTGGATCTCATACAGCTTGCGCCGTTTGCGAGTGCGGATGGGCTGGGGCAGGAAGGGCACTTTTCCAGCTGCCCCACTCCGGCGTAGTGGTGGGTCATGGCGGGAGGCACAGTAATAGCGCTTGTGCACCATGTAGGTCTCATGCCGGCTGAAGCGGATGTTGCAGGCCTCACATACGGTGCGGCTGGGATCGTCGTCTGGCTCCTCCACAGAGCTGGCCCCAGGACTCTGACTGTCCTCACTCATGCGGCCTGCTGCATCCGCCTCGGGCGAGGGGCTGGCTTTGGCTGCACTCTCCTCCGTCTTCACCTCCTGCTTGATCTCTGTGGCGGGTGGAGTGGCCCCTCCCGCAGCTTCACCTTCTTCCATGGCCTTGTCCTCCCCAGTCTGCTGCGGTGAGATGAGTGGTGCAGGGGGGCCCTTGGGGGCAGCCGACGAAGGGGCCGCTTTCAACTTCCGAGCACTGGGGGAGTTCTCCTCCGTCACCCGTCGGCTGGAGCAATACAGCCGCTTGTGGACGTAGTAGTTGTTGATGTTGTTGAACGTGATCTCACATTCAAAGCAGGTGGCCCCCTTGGGCACTGGGGTACCTGGGAAAAGGTTGGGGGGAACCCCTCCATGGCCCTGCTTCAGCCGACTGTGCACCAGCTCCGACATTTTGGCCAAGATCTCTGAAGCCTGCGGCACCACCGTAGCCTCGTGGCCGAACACATATTGGGGCAGAAAGATCGTGCCGCCGGGAATGCTGGATCCAGGTTCGCTGGGCACCGGACTGGACCCCGGAGTAGGGCTGGCGATCTCGGACTTGACCTTCACGGAGTGCATGCTGTGGGGAGAAGATGCTCGGGAAGAGGCATCTGGCTCCGACTCAGGACCAGTTGTCATTTGTGCCAAAGGGGGTCCAGCGGATGCCTCCCCCTCATCTATGGGCTCCTCCTTGATCCGTATTTGCAGCACCCCATCGGATAAGGCTGCAGAGGAGCTGGCTTCTTGGGGAGGGGAGCCATTTGCCACTTCGTTTGTGGTGGGCAATGATGCTCCCTGTATTGCCGGCTTGGCTGAGACATCTAGCTGGCTTTGAGCAGCTTTGGAATCCGAACCTGGAGGAATGGCTGTGGTGGAGGCGGACGCTGCAGCAACGGCGGCACTGTGGAGGACCACATGCTGTTGGAGGCTGAGCAAGCAGTCCGCCACATAACCACAAAAACTGCACTTGAAACTAGGCGCCGGGATGGGCGTGCTCACACCTGCAGGTGGAGGAAAAAGAAACACAAAGATGGCCTTTGAACTTTCCCATTATGGAGGGTTTTGGACAACTGGGATCTAGGGGAAGTATTATTGTGTCTTTAGTTGTTCTCTGCCTATATCCCAGGTGTGTTAAGAGCTTGGAAATCATAACCAAGACCCCGAATTAGAGACCATGATACATACGAGGGGTATTATTTAAGTAAGGTCCGTTTTGTTGTAGACACTAGTAGTTCGTGCGCATACTGCAACGAGCGCGTGCGTCATGTACCGGCATGTCTTGGGAACAACTGTGCTCAATTTCCACTCTGTAGCTAACCTGTACGGTTCTGTTCTGTGCTTTAAAAATGTTTAAGACTATCAACTCACCCGCCGCAAGTCAGGCTCGCTCAGTGATACGGTTTTTTTCAGCAAGGAACCTGCCTGCTGCGGAAATTCATCGACAGATTTGTGAAGTGTACGGTGATACTGTTATGAGTGAAAGCAAAGTGTGTAAGTGGGTACGACAATTCAAAGATGGCCATGACAACGTCCATGATGAGGACAGCTCCGGTCGCCCTTCTTTGATTACAGACAATTTGGTGGCTTCAGTTGAAGTGAGTTTTTATGAAGAGGGTATTTTAAAATTGGTTCAAAGGTATGATAAGTGTTTGAATAAACTTGGCAACTATGTCGAAAAATAGAGTGAAGTATGTACTTTCTGAAAATAAATTTACTTTTTTGAAATAAACTTTCGTTGTGTACTTATGTTCAAATGGACCTTATTTAAAAAATACCCCTTGTACATTTATAATATATAGTTACAGCTCTTACTTATAGTTACTTCACAATATTCAAGTAAATATACTATAATGTGTGTATTCACAATACAGAACATTTTCTGTGCAAAATTCACACTTGAAATTTTTGCGCAGAAAATAGTATTTTCTGCAAAAGCAGGTTTTTATGCATTAAAAAACGCACAACTGTTCTGAGCAGAAAACCATATTTTCTGCACAAAAAGGCACTTTTTGTATACAATAGGTCTGGAACTGTGACATGACATTTTCAACTTTTTTTTTAATATTATTGAATATTCTTATTGATGGGGCTGATTGAAGTCTGGGTCTCTCTGGCCATATATTCTGACACTTTAGCCACCAGGTAGGACTGGCTCCATTCCATCACAGGTTCTGGAGATGTAATTATTTATTGATTGGATTTCTACTCTTACCTTTTTTCTTGATCAAGACTTACCTGGGGTGAGTGGTTTGCCAGGAGTTGGGCCGGTAGGGCCTGGGGAATAGACTTCCCCCTTGGAACCAGGTTGGCAGATCATATGGTTGGTGACCAGGTGGCTGTAAAGGATATCCCTGGTGGTGGAGATGAAGCCACAGCTGTGACAGACCCCTGCGGAGAAAAAGGAGGAAACATGGAAGTGGGAAACTGCCTTACAACACTGATCTCGAGGCTGCCTGTGGTCTGTCAAGGCCTGCGGCTGGCCTGCTTCATTCCTCATTCCAACTAGAAGACTTTGAGATCAAATGTGGGACCTTCTCCATGCAAAGCCAATGCTCTACTACCATGTGATGGTCCAAGCCTTACGTGATGATAGTGGAGCATGACCTTGAGCAACACATGAGTAAAGGATGAGGCATGCAGTGGAGAACTTCTCTCATAGCAAAGAGGAACCATGGTGCCCACACAGCTGGTTCATAAACTATGCTGTCCATATAGGATACGATGCCAGTATAGTTAGTTCCAAAGCTATGGTGTCCACATAAACTATGGTGTCCATATAGGACATGGTGACCACAAAGCTAATTCCAAAGCTATGGAGTCCATATAGGATATGGAATTGACATAGCTATTTCCAAAGCTATGGGGTCCTTATAACTACTTCCAAAGTTTGGTGTCCATACAGGAGATGATGCTCACATAGCTAGTTCCAAAGCTATGGTGTCCATATAGGACATGGTATCCACAGAGCCAATTCCAAAGGTATGGGGTCCATATAGGATACGCTTTCACTATAACTGCTTCCAAAAGCATGGTGTCCATGCAGGAGATGATGCCCACATAGCGAGCTCCAAAGCTGTGGTGTCCACATAGGACATGGTGTCCACAGAGCTAATTCCAAAGCTAAGGGGGTCCATACAGGTTATGGTTTCACCATAACGGCTTCCAAAGACATGGTGTCCATGTAGAAGATGATACCCACATAGCTATTTCCAAAACTATGGTGGTTCCAAAGCGAAGGTGTCCATGTCGGACATGGTGCCGACATAGCTGGCTCAAAAGCTATGGCATCCAGATAGGATATGTTTTCCACGATGCTAGTTTCAGTGACTTGGCATCAGTATAGCTGGCTGAAAAGACTTACCGTTCAATGTGTCCGTGTGGACTTTCAGGTGTCGCTCACAGTTTGCTTTTGTGGTGAAAGCAGAAAGGCAGATGAGGCAGACAAAAGGTCTCTCTCCTGAAAGAGAAACCAGACACAATGGCAGTAGAAGAATATCTATCTATCTATCTATCTATCTATCTATCTATCTATCTATCTATCTATCTACCTACCTACCTACCTACCTACCTACCTATCCATCTATCTATCTATCTATCTATCCACACATCCATCTATCTATCCATGTATGTTTTCACCTTACTCAAACAACAAAGTTGGTCCAAGTAGAGGTTGCTAGGACAACTGCTGAAAGACAACCTGAAAACAGGGCCTTCCCAAGAAATACAACTTAGGCACCCAAAGACAAACTGGAGACAGGGCAGAACTCTTATTTGGGAGTGGGCAGTGCCCTTCTTATGCCCCCCCCCCCACCAAACCACCTCTGGATGTGTGGAGAGAGGCCCGTCCCCTACCACTGTGGCTGCGCATGTGGATCTCCAGGGAACTGGCGCTGGGGCAGCTCTTCTTGCACTGCGGGAAGGGGCAGATGCGTTCGTTGGGGTAGGTCTCCTTGGGCTTCTCGTCCACCGCGGGCGAAGCCGCATTCTGCCGGCTGGCGCAGTAATACATCAGGTGGGCCTGCAGGTTGCGCTCGCTCCGGTACCAAATGCCACAGTCTTTGCAGGGGAAGACGTCCTCTGCAGGGAAGGAATGAACACAGGAGAGACACCATGAATAGAATAGAATTTATTTACTTACTTACTGTACAGATTAACTGTAGATTAACCTTTCCTTCCTTCCAGCCAGGAGTCCTGTGTCCCCCTTGATTTGGAAACAAGGCTGGGATTATGGATTACCTTCAAGGGTGGTGGATTGTCCACCTTTGGATGTCTTTAAGCATGAGTTTGGATGGGCATCTGTTGGGAGTGCTTTAGTTGTGTATCCCTGCCTGGCAGTGGTTTGGACTAGATGGCCTCTGGGGTCCCCTTCCAGTGAAGGACTTTCTTAGGAGGTCTTTCAACCAAGTCTGGATGGGCATCTTTGGGGAGTGATTTCTATACAATGCAACCTCCATATTTGTAGAACCACTATATCAGGCTTCACTTATTCACTAGAACCTCCTTTACACTCCTTGTTTTTGGTCCCGCCATCATTCTTCTCATTGAAAACAATAGGGTTTGCCATTATACATGGTTTTATGTAACCATGAGAACGTATCCATCTAGTCCACAAATGCCATGTGGAGTAGATGGTCTTTGTAGTCTAGAAAGGGACTACCAAGGTCATCTAGTCCACATGGCATTTGTGGTCCCTTCCCAAATCTATGATGGTTCTCCATCCCTAATGTAGGGTCTTGGATTGTGATATGGAGACCCAGGTTCAAATGGCCGACCTTCAGCCCTGTCTTGTTGGAAATTACAACCTTCTTCAAGCCTCCTCTAGTAATTTATTTATCTATAATCCTATTGTATGTATGTTCTGTATGCAGCTTTCTTTCCTTGCTCTATGTTTTCCTGAGAAGTTGTGGGAGGGGCTACAGGCCACATGATCCGCTCTGAGATGAGACTTTGGGACTGCTCAGATCTCAGACATGCAAACACTTGCTTGCTGTTGATTATACGAGAGCTGTTCTGACCAGATGGCACAGAAACTATCTCAAACATACCTGTAACTGACTGATAAGTTCTCTACCTGTGTATGCTGAAGGTCGTGAGTAAACCAAATATGTTATTTTTTTGCCAAAGTCTATTTTATTTTGTCTCTTGAGTGCATAATATAAAACAAGTTGTTTTATGGGAGAGTAGATATATTTTTGGACACTGAGAAACACTTCTGAAGAACTGCTATTTTTAACAGAGACAATAGGTTATTCAGTCTAACAACTGAAGACAATAATAATAATAATAATAATATTCGACAATACAATAATAATAATAATAATAATAATAATACTTTTTTTATACCCCGCCACCATCTCCCCAAGGGACTCGGAGTGGCTTACATGAGGCCAAGCCCAACAACACATCAATAAAAACAAAAAGCAATAAACAAAAACAATTATACAATACAATTAATATAAATTACATATAAACAGTAACACACAAGGATTAAAAACCTATGACCGGGCTAAATGTAATAGTTTAAATATTAAAAGATAAACGCTGGGCATGAACAAGGTAGGATATATCTGGTATAGGGTTTTAAAAGAGAGATGAGGGAGCGCAGTCAATCCTAAACCAGTAGTAAAGTGCATTCTGAGGACATATTGCTGGAAATTTTCCTTATTCTGGGAAGGTACACTGGAACAGCCACATTTTCAGGCTCCTCCTAAAAACTGCCAGATTTGGGGCACGCCTGATGTCCTTGGGAAGTGAGTTCCAGAGTCTGAGGGCCACCACCAAGAAGGCCCTCTCCCTCGTCCCCACCAATTGCGCCTGCGAAGGAGGCGGGAGCAGGAGCAGGGCCTCTCCAGATGATCCAAGAGATTGTGTGGGTTTGTACACAGAAATGCGGTCACGCAGGTAGGCGGGTTGCTTTGCATAATTGCATTTTGTTTTATGCCACATGAGAAGATTCTACTCAAACGGGTTTTCAGGCTCTTCTCTAAAAGGTTATGATCTCTAAAAAGGTGATGCTTGTGTAAAACCTCCCAGTCTCAGAAGGGCCACTTACTGTTCACGACTGCCGTTGCCAATATGGCTGCCATGCCGGCTTGCTGGGGTAGGAGCTGGATTTCGGGGGGCAGCGAGGCAGAGAAGGCAGGCTCCCCACTCTCGGTCTTCACAGTGTGGTTGGGGATCCCCATGGGCTCGGCCATGACAAATGCCTTCAGCACCTCCCCTTCCGCAATGGCTGTCGTGGTTTTGCACCAAATCGCGTCGTCTGCAGAAAAGACCAGGGACAGTCAGAAAAGGTGGGTTGGCCATAAGACAAAACCTCATTTGACTTCAAGTCCAAACCCTGGAAGACATCTATTTGGAGGAGACTTTGCACCCCAAAAGCAGTCCAGATCTGAACTTGCCTTATATTGTGAGTTGACTTTGTAAAACTATAGCTGAGATACATGAGTCTCCGCTTTGAGTCTCCATCGGGGGATAAAGCAGGGAATAAATAAACATAAACATAATAATAAAACTAAATATAGTAAACTGTATGATAAGTGATCCTGGAAATTTTTTATTACTGTTATTATTATTATTATTATTATTATTATTATTATTATTATTATTAATAATAATTTATGTAGACTAGCCGTCCCCTGCCAGGCGTTGCTATGGCCCAGTCTGTGTATATGTGTTTTGTGTGTGCATATATGTGTGTATATATTTGTGCATTTGTGTGTTTATGTGTACACACATATTGTGTAATGTGTGTATACATTTGTGTATATATGTGTGTTTGCTTATATATGTATATATGGGTGTATATGTGTGTGTGTGTGTATATTTGTGTATTTGTGTGTTTATATGTGTACATGCATATTGTGTATATGTGTGTGCTTGTCGATATGCATATTTGTGTGTATATGTGTATGTATGTGGATATTTATATGTGTGTGCATGTCTATATGTATGCACGTGTGTATATGTGTGTATTTGTGTTTGTGTGCATATATATACGTGTGTGTCTATGAATGTGTGCATGTGCATAGGTATATCAGTATATGTGTGTATGTATATATGGTGTATTTTTTGGGTTTTTAAGTCTATTCTGCTGGGGTTTTGTGTGTGGGTGTGTTTATGGGTAATGGACACTTGTTGGACTGTTAGGTGTGTTGTGTCCAATTTTCGTGTCAATTCATCCAGTGGTTTTTGAGTTATGTTAATCCCACAAACAAACATTACATTTTTATTTATATAGAAGATGAGGGGGGGAAAGTGGGCAAACTTTGCAATACAAATGGGTGCCCAAAGGTGGCAGCATTGGTCCATCTATATATATTGATGAAAACATTGCATTTTTCCTTCCTTTACAAACTATAATGCCAACAGACCTCACAACCTGAGTATGCCTGTCACTGATGCAGGTGAAATGTCAGGAGAGAATGATTCTGGAGCATTGCCATACAGCCCGGAAAACTCACAGAAACCCAGTAATTCTGGCTATGAAAGCCTTCGACAACGTAATGCCTTCCCAGCCCATCATTTTGTCTTCTCCAACTTAAGATGCATCTACTGCAGTTTGACAACAGTTAGAAATGCCATAGCTCAAGACTATGAATGATGGGAGTTGTAGTTTTATGAGGCCTTGACACTCTCCACCAGAAGAGGCTGAACTCTTTATGGAACTACAACTCCCACAATGTCATAGCATTGAACCATGGCAGTTCAAGTGGTTCCAAACTGCAAATATCTCCAAATACGAACCCTTCTTGTAGATCACCGAATTGGCATCGCTTTCGCCAGGAACCAAAGGCAGCGCCGACAGCCAGCAGTCTTCGTCTTCCAGCACCAAGGACACTGGGTGATTTGGCTAGAAATTAGTGCAAAAACAGAATGTATTTAATGTGCATTTATATTCTGGAAGAGTACTGCAAATCTGCAATTTTTCAACACTCTCCAACTTGGTGCACAGAGGAATATGCCTGCATCTTGGCACAAGCCCCGAACATTTTATGCTCAATGTCTGCTTGATGGGCCAAAAAACAAAATTCACCATTGCATTCAAGAATTCACACACAAGTACATATTAATAATTATTGAAAATGATTTCTGACTTCCAAGGTATCGTAATATACAGGAGGATTACGAATTCAACCCAGGCTGAGATGGAACTGATGGGATATAGAGTCCAACAAAGATATTGAGTGGTATAGAGCAGTGTTTCTCAACCTTCCTAATGCCGTGGCCCCTTAATTCAGTTCCTCATGTTGTGCTGACCCCGAACCATAAATTTATTTTCGATGCTACTTCAGAACTGTCATTTTGCTACTGTTATGAATCGTCATGTAAATATCTGAAATTCAGGATGTATTTCCATTCAATGGACCAAATTTGGCACAAATACCCCATACGCCCAAATTTGAATACTGGTGGAGTTGAGGGGAGATTGATTTGGTCATTCAGAAGTTATAGTTGCTAGGATTTATAGTTCACCTACAATCAAAGAGCATTCTAAACTCCACCAACAATGGAATTGAACCAAACTTGGCACACAGAACTCCCATGAACAAAAGAAAATAGTGGAAGAGTTTGGTAGGCATTGACCTTGAGTCTTGGGGTTGTAGTTCACCTACATCCAGAGAGCACTGTGGACTAAAACAATGATGGATTTGGCCCAAACTTGGCACAAACACTCAATATGCCCAAATGTGAACACTGGTGGAGTTTGGGGGAAAATAGACCTTGACATTTGGGAGTTGCAGTTGCTAGTATATATAGTTCTACAAGAAGGGTTCGTATTTGGATATATTTGCATTTTGGAACCACTTGAACCGCCATCTACAATCACAGCGGAGGAGGGCTTTTGGTGGGAGGATTTGCCCTCTGTTTCCAAAAAGGAAAAGAAGGACAGGTGGAGAGATGTTCGTTTGTGGGATAAACAGAACTCAAAAACCAGTGGACGAATTGACACCAAATTTGGACATGACACACCTATCAGCAGCAGAAGGAACTTAAAAAGCCAAAAAACAAAAAATGCATTACAGCACATCCGCAAAACCACATATATACACATATACACAAATATGCACATACACAAACACACAAAAACACACTGGGCCACAGTACACACGCACAAAACCACATATACACACACACACACATATATATATATACACACACACATATACACACAATATACACATATATACACGCATAAAACACATATACGTATGGCAGGGGACGGCTAGTAATATTATAAATAGTTATTGTTGTTGTTATTATTCTGCACCAGAGCCTGGGTTCTTGCAAGGGTCTTAGACTACTTTACCATTCTGAGTATAGTAAAGTCTCCTTCTTTGGAAGTTTTTCAACAGAGCCTGGATGGCCATCTGTTGGGAGTGCTTTCATTGTATCTTACTTCCGGGCAGAAGGGTGTTGAGCTAGACAGCCTTCCAACTCTATGATTCTGCAATTATGCGGGATACACAATCAAAGCAGTCCCAACAGATGGCTTTAAAGACTTTGCTTTAAAAACACCCCAGAGAAAGAGGCTCTTGCATGACTTTTGTGCTTCTTTCTGGGCCAAACGCATACCTTGATGCAGGAGTCACTCCTTGGCGACACATTGGAATGAAGACCGGTGCTTTTTCTTGCACCATCAGCAGAAGCGTGTGAGTGTGTAAGAGAGGAGTGTGCGTGTGCGAATGTGTGTGCGTGCGGGGTTTATTTTATTTTTTTTATCACGCCGTGAGCACTCTGCTCCTTGGAGTGATAAGCCCTAAACCGACCAAGACTGTCAGTCTGAGTTGGAGGGTTTAGAAATATTGGGACGAATAATTAGATTTCATATCGTTATGGCTGCAGCCATCGAAGGATCAGGCAGATTAATTTTTTTTCCCTCCCTTCTCTCTCTCTCTCTTTCTTTCCCTTCCTCCGTTTCATTAATATTCATTAGCGGCACATGAAGGTAGAGGGAAGGAAAGCCCAACCGATGGCATATTTGGGGAAGGGGCTTTTGGGAATCGAAAGGTACTATATGTGCAAAAGGGGGCATTTGGGTCCCAATATCTAAAGAAAGAAAGTGAGGGTCTTCTCCCATTAAACTCCCATTGAATTTGCACCGTAGTTATGGGATTGTGACTCTGGAGACCCTGCTTGGCCGTTTGGGAAAGTCACATTCTCTCAGTCTCAAAGGAAAGCCAAGGCAGACTCCCCCAAACAGATCTTATTTTTTTTAAACCCATAATAGAGGTGTCACGAACTAGAAATGTCCTTAAGGCACATGTCAAGGTTGGGAATCCCTTGTCTGGGACCAAAAGTATTTGAATTTATTTATTGTTTACTAGCCATCCCCCTGCCACGCGTTGCTGTGGCCCGGTCTGTATATATGTGTATATGTGTGTGTATATATTTGTGTATATGTGTATATATGTGTGGTTTTAAGCATGCGTTGTAATGTATTTTTTGTTTTTTGGTTATTTAAGTCTCTTTTGCTGTGTTTTTCAGTGTTTTTATGAGTGTTGGTCACTCGTTGGCCTGATTGGTGTCTTGTGTCCAAATTTGGTGTCAACTCATCCAGTGGTTTTTGAGTTATGTTAAACCCACAAACGAACATTATATTTTTATTTATATAGATTACTTGTATTTACATATTCGTACATAATTAGTTTATCGGAAATGGGGCCCAGGTCTAAGCATGAAGTGCATTGAGGTTTCTTATGTACAACACGTACACATATGGAGCCCCCCGTGGCGCAGTGGGTTAAACAGCTGAGCTGCTGAATTTGCTAACCGAAAGGTCACAGGTTCGAATCTGGGGACGGCGTGAGCTCCCATTGTTAGTCCCCGCTTCTGCCAACCTAGCAGTTTGAAAACATTGAAAAGTGAGTGGATCAACAGGTACTGTTCCCATAGGAAGGTAACTGTGCTCCATGCAGTCACGACCTTTGGGGTGTCTACGGAAAACACCAGCTCTTCGGCTTTGAGATGGAGATGAGCACCACCCCCCAGATTCGTACACGACTATACTTAATGACAGGGGAAACACTTTACCTACCTTTATTATACACATACACACACTCACATATATGCATACACATGCATAAACACGCACATGCAAACACACACACACATATACATGCACATATATATACACACATATATGCATACATTCACACACATATACACATGCATACACACATATATACAGAGTGTGTATATGCATATATACGCACACATATATAAACATACACACATATATACACACCTACATATGTATACACACATATATGCACACACACACATATGTATGCATACATACATTTACATATGCATACAAACACACACATATACACATATACATGCATACATAAAGCACACACATATACATGTACATACATTCACACACATATACACATGCATACACACATATATACACACATATATATGCATACATACACACATATATACAATATAAACACACATATACACACAAACACATATGAATACATACATACACACATATATACATATGCATACCTACACACATATACATATGCATACATTCACACACATATACACACATATACACATGCATACACACACATATATAGAGTGTGTATATGCATATATACGCACACATATATAAACACATACATATATACACACATATACATATGCATACACACATATATGCACACATACATATATATGCATACATACATACATATATACAGTATAAACACACACACATATATACACACAAATACATATGAATACATACATACACACATATATGCACACACATATATACATATGCATACCTACACACATATACATATGCATACACACATATATGTATGCATACATACACATATTTACATATGCATACATATATATGCATACATAAACACACACATATATGTATGTATGCACACACACACATAGCGTGAAGGTCATTTTATACACAGAATAAATCAATTTTGTGCATGGAATGAATTTGGTATCAATTTAAACACCAGAAAGCAAAGGTGTCACACTATCTCAACCAACCAAGTGTACAATTTTGGATTTTGTAGTATAGTATAGTATATAGTATAGTATCCCTATGGATATAGGGGATTATACTATATACTATTCTACTATACTATACTATTCTGTGACCCCTGTATCCATAGGGATGCATACCTGAATTTACTGTAGAAACAGAGAACTGGGAATAATAGTGAACCCTATGGAAATGAGTAACTTCTGCTGGACGTTATCATGAAGTTGTCCTAGAAGTTTGCCAGTGTGACTCTCTGTCAGAAGCAAGTCAAAGAATTGCTAGGAGAGGACATATTTTGTTGGGAAAGCGGGTCTGGTGAAACTGGGCAGCCCTCTATCAGGAGGGCTTGGATGGTGCCTTCCCACCTGGCAGGAGGGGGCTGGACTGGATGGCCTTTGGGGTTCCCTTCCAGCGCTATTGTCTGGTTAATGCGGGGACCTTGTTTCCTCCCAGCGTGGAGCCAAGGTTCAAGGGATGAAGTGGCTGCTTCCTCCGCAGCCGGCCGCGGGTCAGGCCCCAGGTTAAGGCGGAAAGGAAATAACAAGCTTGTTGTGATCGCAGTCACGGCTACGTTGGCCGGTGGCCATGCCATGGGGCGGGAGGCGAGATGTGGGGCTTCATAGAAAAGGCATAGCAAGATGCATTGAGCCTGGTGCTGCCTTTAGTTTCCTTGTGCCAACCTGCGCACAAAGAGGGAGGAAAGTGGGAGAGATTATTGGTTGACTCTATATTCTACTAGAGTTGGAAGGGACCTCCAAAGGCCATCCAGTCCAACCCCATTTTGCCATGCAGAAATTGATCAACTGACTGATCACTTGATTCAA